TTTTTTCGGACACTCACTGGATATGGCCTATATTTCCTGATTACAAATCGTAAAGAAAAGTACCTCATTTCTTTATAGCAACCATTTCTTTATAGCAACCAAATAAACAATTAATTATTTATTAGAATAAATATTAAACGTACAATTATTAAGGTTAGAGATGCTTATACTTGATGTATGTACACTGTTGTAACTGTAAATCACCACATGTTAGTGACGATTTTGATAACACCTCCTCATGAATCACTACTTTATTTTTTTTTGTTTGGTTGCTGTAGTGAGGGAAATGGCAGAAACGACAATTTGATTCTCGAGCTCGTCGTGTACTTTTTAAATAATTTCTTATAAAATGTAGGTAATTCATTTAAATTGAGTGTCCGAAAAAACTTCATGTATTATTCGCGTTTCTAATCTCGGCTTCGCCTCGATTAGAAAATTCGCGATTCGTAAAGAAAAAAGTATACTTTCTTTACTTATAATACAAATAACTATTTTCGTATGATTTAAGCATAAATTAATTAATTTTCGTAAAGAAAACGACGTTTTATAAAACTGACATTTAATTTTGACAAATTGTTGTGAAGTTAGTTACAGTTAGTAACATTGAATTTGTGTCACATTGACGTTTAACCGTTATTCAAAAATTTATTTAAAAAGTAAATTTATGGAATCAATTTCAATAGTCGTGGACAAAGTATAGTATTCTACTCGCATATAATGAGCCTTTATTCACTTAGGTTAATTATGCCACTCGCTACGCTCGTTACATAAACTTAACCATCGTGAATAATAGCCCTCCTTATATGCTCATATAATAATATACTATTATTTCTAATTTCTATCACTTCTTCCTTCAGTTCGATTTGTGCATCGCTAAAGATCGGATGTGTTTTGCGATCGCGCGGCAAGTGTTTTATTTTACGCTTTATAAATCGTTTATAGATGATATAAATAATAATAATAATAGGATATTATTTCCCACAGGTACTACCCAGTTACAGGAAATAGTATATTAAAAAACAAGTTTCGTAAGAGACGCTTGAAAAGCACGAATTTTTAGTTGAAAAACGAGTGGCGAAGCCACGATTTTTAGCAAAAATAAAATAAATTTTGACAATGTAGGAAAATAGGTATGCAGCAGTTGGTAACACCGTAACACTTGAAAATAGAAATTTGAATTGACAATTAGAAACTGTCAAAACACAAAATGTATTCACCTGAAAAAAATGTTTCATGTACACCTCCCAAAATAGGAGAAATTACTCAGTGTTCAATGTCGTCATCATTGTGGACCTTGTATTCGATGCTAAGAACGTGTTTAAACATCCATAGACAAAAATTGTCACATTGACAACTAGAAAAATTAATGACCCAATGTCTCCAACTTGAACTGGTTCCATAAAATGTTACTGAAATCTCATTACAGCATCGGATGCTGTAAGGAGTCTCATTATAGCACCCGTTTGAGTACTGTTAGAGCTTTCGTTACCGTCGCGAATTACAAAAAAAAAATTATAACATCACAACACTTAAATTTAAATTAACTACATGAAAAAGATATATGTAGCTATAAGCAAAAATACTAACTGATACAACTACATAATCTAATCATAATCATAACTACTAAGAATTTACTGCATGCCGAAATGATCGAAAGCTACTCTAACCACCGTGTTCAAGGAATCAAAAATTGCCGTAATCGGACATTAACGAAACAGATGATTTCCGTAAAGTGTTACTATTAATACGGCAATTATAGAACGTGAGGGGACAGCCTGAGTTGAAACGCGGCACAAGAAAGGTTAACCTTAAACTTTATTATAAACCTTAAAGTTTATGAATAAATTTAACTATGTAAACAACTCTGCGCTGTTGCAGTGAAAGAAAACTAAAGAGCGAAAGGAGAAACGTGTAATCTGCACCCCTAGGCGGGTAAACACGATCCTGTCGAAAGCATAAATACTTTAAAAATGTCTTTTGTATAGTATTCAAGCACATTCGCGTAAAACTGATAGAACGGATACCAAACGATTACCGCATACTCTAACCGCGATCTAATAAACGCAAAAAACAACGTACATAGACATCTGATGGACAGACCCTTACTGTTCCGAACAATAAACCCGTATGTATAAACCCATGAATTATTATTATTAGTTCTGAAATGGCACTATGTTCTTCATTTAACAAACTCGTTCGAAATTTCTGCATACATTGAAGATAAAGGTATGCAGAAATTTTAACTCCTCAAGTCGTAACGTCGGTCATTTGGGGTCAATCGCCAAACTATCGAGTTAAAACTTTCATTACCTTTCTGTATATGACCCTCAAATTTGTGATTAATACGTTGTTTTCAGATAGCTCTTCATAAATTTCCAATGCATGTTTTTATACATAATAATATGTATATACAGTGTGTCCCCGTAAGGTATAATTGACGATAAATTTTTGAATTCAAATTCCATCTTTTGCAATTAAAGTCTGGATGTCATAAAACGAAATATAACCAAGTTTTACGTCAAACGTCCTCAAAGTATCAAAGTTAACGTAAAAAGTTTGTTAATCGTTGCAGGTAAAGTGGTCTTTCTGAGCAATGTACAACAAAAGTTGATTAAGATAAAATGTTTGTTATGTTAAATTACAGCGATATGCCGAATTTTATTAATTTAGGATATAAAAGCAAAATGCATATTTTTAAATCATAAGATTAACAAAACATTTTCGATCTAAACTAAATTAACATAAGATAATAATAGATAAGAATAAAGCTTATTCAATGATACCACCACCAACACTAACACATAATACATAATTCAGCCCTTTTCCGAC